AAGTCTAGCTAACAGAATCTCATAGTTAACTGTACCTTTGATGTGGGCTGCGGAAATACAAATTTTGAATGAAGATATGACCATCGCAGTGGTGTATGAAATTTAAGCAATTGGAAATAAACCCGAAAAAATATCGGGACATCAACGGGATTCGAACCCATGGCCTCTGTGTTAGCGCTGCAGCGCACTACCATTTGAGCCATAAAGACCCATACATTGGGAGCAGGCCAACTTGTTGACTTCATCTTAACCCGTGCAAGGAATGACACATGAAGATGATGTGAACTGAGGAAATACAAATTTTAAGTGAAGATATGATCATCGCAGTGGTAAATGCAATTTAAGCAATTGCAAGTAAACCGCCAAAAAATTGTATTTCCGCGGTTGACATCATCTTCATGTTTCATTCCTTGCACGGGTTAAGATGAACTCAAGAACCTTTTCAGACAGTGTGTCATCTTCATCCTTAAATACTGGGAAAATCTTATCATAATTTATTGATCACCGGAAATAAATTTCAGTTAATCAACAACTCTTGTTTGAGCTTTGTCCCATGTCCAGTGATCTTCACGTGCAACCCTATGAACTCTTCATTGTTTATTTGACCAATCACATGGCACTCTGCCATGTTCAATAGCTTGCATTCCCATGTGGAGTCACTCTGTTTTTTTCTTCACGACCAAGCACAATGTCTTGAAGCGTTGTTTTTAAATTCTAATGTGGCGTGCCGTACTTTTCTTTTCAAGTGTGTTGCAGCGTTACGGATTAGTTCTCGCCTCTCTCGCCTCGGAGATCCCGGTCTTTTTATTTTGCGGGAGAAGCTCGAACAGCTTCAGTTACATGTTCTAATGCAATCTTCCCAGCGGACACAACGTTTAGGGACTGGCGAACCGGTCAACATTCCAGCTGACCTCGACCTAGATAGCCTGTTTGTGAAAGACCTCCGTACTTTGTGTAGTCAACTGAGCCTTCCTACCGCCGGACCACGCTCCGCGCTCGTCGAACGGCTCAAAGAAGCAAGAGAAGAAGCCCGGCGAAATGCACAACCTATTAGCGCCCCACCCCCAGTTCAAAATGGTGGCGACGGCATAGAACTCCAGCAACACTTTCAGCAGTTACAACAACAAGTCCAGGACCTGCTGAACCGCAACTCTAATATGACGAAAGAATGCTCTGCGAGAGCCAGCAGACTCAAGCTAAATCCTTGGTCCAAGCAACCAGCAACGAGACGATCGAACAGACAGCGGCCGCAGCTACCCAAGCTGCAACGAACGCCTTCACTGGTTCTTCGTCGTCTTCTCAAGCGGTTGTTCCTGAGAGAAACGCGTCGAGCTGAGGGCAAAGTTCCTTCTGCGGTCCAAGAAACCTTAAATTCTACTGCTGTTGTTGGCGCAAGCGGTATGATATCAACAGTACTTCCTCTGCATTCCAGGGGACTTTGGATTCAGTACACGAACTCCCACCAAAGCTTGTGAGGGAAATCCTCTCGGGTAAGTTTATGGAACTGTCCAAATTGTCGTGCTGCAGAATTGTTAGAATACCTGTCATTAATTCGTTATGCAGCTGAACATTACAGGGGCCTAGGCTGGTGTGTTTACGATGTTTCGCCAAAAGGCTGCTGCTAACAAGTTTATTAAGTGGTCGATCATAGACAGCCAATTACGGCTTAAAACGTTTACTGTTACCCTTCACTTATGAAGGAAGAAGTTGGTTTTTCCAGTCAGGACCCTCATTCGTACCAAGTACAGTTAGAGGCAACAAATATCGTACTTGCCACAACTTCAATAAGGGTTTCTCATGAGCCAGGACCCCCTGCCCCTATGCACACACGTGTAACAAGCTAGGTTGTTGAGGGGATAACCCCCGGATCCAGGTGCCCTATCCCGAACCGGATAATCAGCCACCCCACGGGCTGAGAATTCCAACATGGAGCACCATAGCTCCCGCCACCGCGGCAAGTAATTTGGGGGTGTAGTCACTGCAGTAAATGTCTTTAACACTTAGGGCTTTCCACAAGTTGCTCGAGATTTTCCAAAAAGATTTGCGTGATTTCTCAAAAGTTGCTCAAAACAGAATCAAAAGTTGCTGGAAAAAAAAGAAACTATTTTTGGTCTGATGCTAAAATATGCAGATTGTAAAACAAATTAAGGTAAGATTTCTGATCATTTTTGTCCAATTTTGCGACGTAACCAGCGTTGCTAAACAACTTTTCCTCAATTAAAACCAAAAAATGTAATAAGTCAAAAAAAAATTGTTGAATGACCTTCTTCACCCGAGTCAATCAAGTCAGTCGAGTGTGAATCTGTTATGCCTTTGTGGCTTTCCACCATGAAGTATATACCGTGAATCTTCCTCCACCATTTTGAATTTTCTCTAAAAACCGCTGACCTAGCCTATCCCAAAAGTAGCTTTCCAGCTACTTTTATCTGACCTAATTCTCTCCGTTACAAAGAAAAATGTAAGCAACCCTTCGGTCCATAAAAGTCACGATGCTCCTTTACTAAAACCATTTAGGTAGACTGCTATACTCAGACTGCTTGCTGAGACGCCCGGGGTTACTTCCTCATAAGAGGTTAATGGGGATGTGCCGTTGGATGGGGTCGCATTGTCACGACTGGGTTGACTTTAATGGAGTCGCATTTTCAATAGAGTTACTAGAATGGGGTCGTACATTTTCGGATTTTTTGGGGTAAGACATTTCTTCATACTTACGGTTAGCAAACGCACCAGAATGTTTGTACTGCAGATGAAAAGTAAAGCTTTCCTCATTCAATCTAAAAAAATAGGTCAATTCATAAAAATAGAAAGTGACTAAGTTGGGATCGCGAAAATTACATATTAGCCCAAAAGTGACTAAGATGGGGTCTCTAATTAGCCACAGAATAGACTATAATGGGGTAGGGGCGCTGAGAGGCCAGTGGCACACACCCAGCAAAAATTAACCCCCAAGA